TAGGGCCACCATAACAAAGTACCACAGACTGGGTGGCTTAAAAGACAGAAGTTTATTTTCTTACAATTTTGGAGGCCAGAGTCTAAGACTGAGGTGTCTGCAGGGCTGATTTCCTCCGAGCCCCTCCTCGGTTTGTTGATGGCTATTCCCCCTCCCTACTCCTGGGCTCTCATGTGGTCCCTCCTGCGTGTCCTAATCCCCACTTCTTATAAGGACACCAATTATATTGCATCGGGCCCTACCCCAGTGAGCTCGTTTTAATTTAATTCCCTCTCTAGAGACCCTATCTCCAAATACAGTGATATTCTGTGGTACCGAGGGTTGAGACTTCAACATACGAACTGTGGGGAGACACACTCAGCCCCTAACAGCAGGAGTGGTGGCAGTGGTGGCAGAGGGAGCACAGCAATGCTCGTCTCTGGAAATTTTTTTTTTTTTTTTTTTTACATAGTCTCACTCCTTCACCCAGGCTGGAGTGCAGTGGTGTGATGCCGGCACCCTGCAGCCTCGACCTTCTGGGCTCAAGCAGTGCTCCCGCCTCATCCCCCGGAGTAGCTGGGATGCCAGGTGCCTGTAAACCATACTCGGCCAATAGTTTGTATTTTTTGTAGAGACTGGGTTTTGCCATGTTGCCTAGGCTGGTCTCCAAGCGATTCCCCTGCCTCGAACTCCCAAAGCGCAGGGATTACAGGCGTGAGCCACCACGCCCAGTCACTGGGTGGATTCTCCTGGACTGGACACCTTCCCGTTAGGGAAGCAAGGAGGAGGCAGGCCCACTGCAGGCCTGTGGGGATGGTTCAGTAGGACTTTCTGAGGTTCTGCCCACTCAGCACCCCACTGGGTGCCCCTCCAGAATCACAGGCACACCGGCTCAAGGAAATCAGATGGGTAGCCCTAAAAGAAGCCAAGCCTCAGGTAAACCAGAAGTTTAATAAAAATGAACAAAATTACAACATGGCAGGCCAGCAATGGGCTGCTTTAGAAGGTCTGATGTGTTGGTCAGCCTGACGTCCTGCTCCTGTGGTTCTGGGAGGTCACAGGATTGGTCCCTCACATACGAGGTTCACTTTCCTCAGTTACCCTGTTCCCACTGGGGAGGACTCTGTCTTCCTGGTGTAATTTTTGGCCCGGCTGGTTCTGAACCCCCTCACCCTGTGAGGAAGACTGCCTGGGTCTGACCTTTACCCCACGACAATGGTGATGTCCTTTATATTGTTTCCCTAAGTCCACACCCCCACCCCAGGGTCTGAGGATGGCAGACAGAGGAAAGCCCATTTTATGGAAAATTAAGAGCTTTGGGAATGCCTGAGCCTCCTCCATAGGAGACAGCCACAGCTCCCAGGGTCTCTGGGCTCGCCTGCAAGCTCTTCTGAATTCTGTGGGTCCGTCTCTCTTTCGAAGTGCTCAGGACACACAGGTGCTGGTGATGAGCTGGGTCCACAAGTCTGCACAGAAGGGAACCCCGCTGGGCCCAGACCTCCCTGGCGGCCACTGCAGGCGGGGCCAGTTAGGAGGTGCTGCTCCTCCTCCTCGGGTGGAGGGCTTTCCTCCTGGCGATGTCCTCCTCGGTGTCACTCTCACAGTTCCTCTGGAGGAAAAAGTAAGAAAGAGATCCCGGGCAGGAGGATCATGAGATGCCAGGAATGGGGCTGTACTGGGCAACCTGGATTGATTCACCTTGGCCAGGGGCCTGCAAGCCAAGGAGGTGAGTGGTAAAAGCACGCCTGTTGCTACAGTCGGGCTGGGGGAGGGGAGGGACCTGAAATGAGGCCAGACCAACTGCCTCAAGGAAGGACACTCCCAAGAGGAGGGACAGCAGCAGGGCATCTAAGGGAAACCAGACATCAGGAGAGGCCAAATTATAATAAAGAAAATTACATCTAGTGCCCCTTGTGGCTACCACATAATCAAGGCCACTTGGCTGGGTGGTCTGTGGCTGCTGGGTCTCCTGAGCTCAGTCTGAAGAGACTGGAGGATGGGCGTGAGCCACAGGGTCCTCCCCATGCTCTGACAGCCACCATCCCATGCCCCTTCTTCGATGGGCTGCACCTTCAGCTGTCTTGCCATGCAGTTCTTCCGGGGAAATGACTTCTGAGCTCCATTTTTATGAAAGAGGAAATGAGTATAAAGTACCATCTGTCAGCTCCTACATGGCAAACCAGAGCTGAGGCAGTCACCCCGAGGCCACCATGTCTTTTCTTCTAAGTCATGATGATTTAATGTAATATTTAAATTATTAAAAGAAGTACTAATCCACAATGACTTCAGTCCTAAAATATCTGTTGTCAGATGTTTAATTCTAATACCTCCTAAACAAAAGGACCTATCACACTACTCTTCTTTTTTGTTTTTTTGAGATGGAGTTTCGCTCTTGTTGCCCAGGCTGGAGTGCGATAGTGGGATCTCGGCTCACCGAAACCTCTGCCTCCCGGGTTCAAGAGAGACTCCTGCCTCAGCCTCCCAAGTAGCTGGGTTACAGGCATGCGCCATCATGCCCAGCTAATTTTGTATTTTTAGTAGAGACAGGGTTTCTCCATGTTGGTCAGGCTGGTTTTGAACTCCCAACCTCAGGTGGTCTGCCCACCTCGGCCTCACAAAGGGCTAGGATTGCAGGCATGAACCACCCTGCCCAGCCCCTCTTTTTTTTTTAAGGGAAAGTCCCTTTGGGAAAACTGTTTAACAGATGTCTGGGACCCAACTCATCCACTTCTAGGATGAACCTTTCAGCTGATGGAGCTTGCTATTTGAGTAAAAAGATTACTATTTAAGAACATTTGTACAAAAGTTTGGAAATGAATTGACATTCTTTTTGGCCAGGCACAATGACTCACACCTGTAATCCCAGCACTTTGGGAGGCCAAGGCAGGCAGATCACCTGAGGTCAGAGGTTTGAGACCAGCCTGACCAACATGCCAAAACCCCAACTCTACTAAAAATACAAAAGTTAGCAGGCCTGTAGCTCAGCTAGATGGGAGGCTGAGGCAGGAGAATCGCTTGAACCCAGGAGGTGGAGGTTGCAGTGAGCTGATATCACGCCACTGCACTCTAGCCTGGGGGACAGAGCGAGACTCTGTCTTAAAAAAAAAAAAAATGGACATTCTTCTCAATTACTCTGGGCTTCTCCCTACAGATTGCATCTGTTAGGGAAGTAGGGCCAGGGGCTTAGCCTGCAAGGCATGCCCACCATCTGCCACTCAGCCTCCCAGGGCCTTTCCCCTTCCTCCAGCCTAAGCCAGCTGGAAATCCAAGGTCAAGATCAACTTTAGCCAAATACATCCTAGACCAAGCCCGGCTGTAACAATAAAAATAACTCAAGCTCTGCAGAATAGCAACTTTTTCGCATGAGTCAGGGCCAAACAGTGAAAAAATAAGCTGGGTAAAGTCTGCCTGTCATTATCAGGGATTCTCAGAGGGCGAGCAGTCCAATCCCCTTTATAAGAGACAAGGAAAGTGGCCAGAGCAGGCACAGGGCTCGGCCAAAGCCACACAGTTGTTTGGGGCCTCTGGGACCATAAATCCTCAAGTCCTGGCAAGAGCTCAAGTTGAAAGAGAAGACCCCAGGATGTCTGGAGGGAGTGGGGACAGCAGGGCTGTGCTGGGTCCAGCCATACACCGTGAGACTGCCCAGCCCTCTTAGGCAGACACCTCCCAATGCCTCCCTGAGAAGGGCGTCCCCTTCTGTCCTGATCTGTGCCATCCCAGACACTCCTGAGCACCCTACACTACACTCCATGAGTGGGGGGAGGGCCCCTACAAACTGCATTTTAAGGTGTACAGGAGGATTTTGTTTTTTTACCTTTTAAATGTCATTTTCTTTAGACTTAGGATCGTGCTCTGTTGCCCAGGCTGCAGTGCAGTGCAGTGTAGTTCACTGTAACCTTGAACTCCTGGGCTGAAGCAATCCTCCCACCTCAGTTCCCTGAGTAGCTAGGACTATAGGTGCATGTCGCCACACCTGGCTTTTTTTTTTTTTTTTTTTGGTAGAATCAGGGTCTTCCTATGTTGCCCAGGCTGGTCCTTAACTCCTGGCCTCAAATGATCCTTCTGCCTCAGCCACCCAAGGTGCTGGAATTGTAGGCACGAACCACTACTGCTAGCCTGTAGGGCTTTAAACAACAGCAATAATTGCTAACACTTATTGAGCACATGCCAGGCTTTAAGAATACATCATTATTTAATCTTTAGGAACTATTAATAGCCCTATTTTACAAATGAAGAAATCTCAGCACAGAGAGGTTAAGTAATTTCCTCAAGGTCACACAGTAAGTGGCAGATTTGAATCCTGGTAGTCTGACCCCAGAGCCCACCCTCTTCACCAGTATATTCTGTTATAAGCTACTCCTTTTATAAGTGCACAGAATTGCAATAAAGTAATGAAATATAAGATATTATCTAAACATTATGATGATGGTAATCTGAAGCAAAGCAGAAATGGAAATATGGAAAAAAGAATGTAAAGCTCCCATTCTAAAGCAAATTTTGGGTTGTCAGAAATACACCTTAGGTTATCTGTGGTCAGCCGGCAGCAGGAGTCTCTCTGAAGGCCCACCAGGAAAGGATGGGAGATCCTTCAGGAGCTCATGCCGCCACATTGGCGATCCCCTCCCGGCACCAACCAGAGGTTCCCCAGAACATATTCCTCTGAAGATCACACTTCAGCCTTCAGGGAAGAGGAGGACGGGGCCAGCAGAACTGGCTGGAAGCAGTGAGCACCCACCTGCCTTGCAAAGAGGAAAGGGAACTCACCCATCCCTGACCTCCAGGCTACCCCAGAATTCTGCCCAAGAAGAGGGCACACATTTACCCACCAGGTCCTCATTCGGCCTCAGGTGCACCTTCTTCATCAGTGAGCGGGTGAGGTGGTTGCATAAGGACACGATGCTGAAGGAGAGCTGAGGGAGGCAAAGGAAAGGAACCGCCAGGTGAGAACATGCACGGAGACCCTGGAGAGCAAGAAACCCCGCCCAGGCTCCCCGGGACCACCCCACACCTGGACACACCTTCCACCGCCTGCGGGCATATTGCTTCTTGAAGTTCTCCAGATTGACCACAGACTCCCTGCGCACCAAGGCTTGCTGGTTGTCCACTGGCTGAGAGACAAAGCAGAGCATGGTAGCTGACGCTGGGCTTCAGATAGCAGCCACCCTCCTCACCACAGAATCCCCCACCACATGCCCACCACCCTTGGCTTGATCCTGGCATCTCTCTGCCAGACGGGGCACACAGTGGGACCATCACAGTGAGGGCAACAGCTACAGATGTCTCAGCTGTTCGGGAGATGCCTCTGAGCTATTCAACAGCTACAGATATCTCAGCTGTTCAGGAGATGCCTCTGAGGTATTATCACCACAGCCAGACACACATGCAGCCTTGGCTGGAGGCGCAGCCGCTCCTGAAGGGAAACAGCGGGAGGGGGCTCCAAGCACACAGCACTTTGGGGAGAGGGTCATTTTACAGCAGCCTGGGATGCCCCCTGGGCACTGGGGCGATTCTGGACTTAGCAAAACAAATGCCTTGTTGGTAGACAGGGAATTCACACTCCATTAAAAAATAAACAGAAGGAAATAAGGGCGTTGATGAAAGTCAAGAGGCAACAGGATGTGTAGCTGCCTTTCACAGCCTGGCAGTCAAAGCTCAGTTTAAATCTTGACTTCTCCAAGAAGTCTGGCATGGTTTCTCTGAGCCTCAGTTTCCTCATCTCTGATATTGGGATAATAATGTCACAGCACTGTTAAGAATTAAATGATCATGCACATATTAGGTGCTTAACCCAGACCACTCAATAGAGTAACAAGTCATCGTGAGTTCTGCCTTCTCCATTCCCTCTTCAACTCCCTTCTTTTGTAAAATAAGGTTTTCTGAAATCAAGAGATAGGTTTCAGGGGTTCTGTGAACAAAATGTGCTGTATCCATACAAAGGAATATTAGTCAGAAATGTCATATAAAAAAATTCAGTCTTTTTTTTTTTTGAGAGAGTTTCGCTCTTGTTGCCTAGGCTGGAGTGCAATGGCGCAATCTCGGCTCACCACAACCTCCACCTCCCGGGTTTAAGTGATTCTCTTCTTCAGCTCCTGTGCCCGCCACTACGCCTGGCTAATTTTTTGTATTTTTAGTAGAGACAGGGTTTCACCATGTTGGGCAGGCTGGTCTCGAACCCCCAACCTCGTGATCTGCCCGCCTCGGCCTCCCAAGTGCTGGGATTACGGGCATGAGCCACTTTGACCGGCCTGAGTCCATTTTACAACACAGATGAACCTTAAAAACATGTTAAATGAAAAAAACCAGACACAAAAGGCTACCTGTTGTATGATTCGATTTATACACACAACCTTGTGAATGTACTAAAAACCGCTGAATTGTACATTTTTAAATGGTGAATTTTACAGAATATAAATTAAAACTCAAAATTTAAAATTTAGTGTATATGTACAGACATGTCTTTCTTTGGAGAGTCGATAGCTTTCATCGATTCTCAGAGGCCCCTGTGACCTCAAGATAATGAACTGCCCAGAATGATTCTGAAGATCCCGGCAGCCCTGTTTTTCTCCCTGCTCTGACAGCCTTCCTGCCACAGTGCCTCACTGGGCAGCTGGTGAATGCTAAGCGAGGGAGCATATTGATTCCCAGGCGTGGGTCTTGTCTCCTAAGCATGCTCAGGACACGCCCCCACTCTTGGTTTTTCATCATGGTGTCAGTCACTGGAAGGAAGCCAGTGCACGCTGCCGGCCACACTGCTCTGGAGCTGGCACCCTCTGGCAGGAGGTCCATCCCGGCAGCCCCTGCCGCCCATCCCCCTGGAAGGCCTTCAGGTATTTCAAAGCCCAATTCAGGCATGAGCGCCTCTGAGAAAAATTCCAGAAAATAATGTCTCCCTCCCAGACATGACCAAAGCATGTGTGTGTTCCTTTATTAAGTCCAGCGACTCTCAGACTCTCAGTCAGCTTTGCAGAGGAATCATCCCACTCATGGAAAATGACTTGAGAGCACAGATTTTCTTCATGTCTGTGTCAAAGCCCTGCCTCACTCTCCTCCCAATCCAGAACCTATGACAGCGGGTGCTTCACAGGTGTGTGGTTGTTTCCCTAAGCTGATGGAGAGACAAGTTGGAATGAAAGTCCAGGACCTGGGACCTACTCACTCCCACTGATGAGAGGCCCAGGTCACCTGGTCAGCCCAGCCACACCATCTTGAAAGGGTGTCAGGGCACAAAGGCTCCCCATGGCTCTGCCCAGGAGTCAGCAGGATGCAGAGCTCCAGGGCCGGGCGATGGGGTGATCCGGAGCTGAAGCGGGAGGGAGTGCATGCAACCTGGAAGTGGATGGGGGATGAGAAAACCAGGGACTCTTCAGCCTCCGAAACTGAAGCACAGTGGTTTGGGCCAGAGTGCAGAAGGAAAGAGAGTGCAGGGGAAGGAGAAAGACAGGGAATGGGAAGAGTAGAGAAAAGGATGAGGCTGCTGGAGGGACCACCAGGCCATGTCCAGCCCTCTAGATCCTGTCTTTAACTGCCTGTCACCTGCTCTGTGCACCTGCAAGCCCAGCCCTGGGTCTAGTTCCACCTGGAAGGGAGGCACAAAAGTGGGTGGAGGGCGACCAATCTGTGTTGAAGACCTTGACTTTTCCCTTCTCCAAGCCTTCCAGGGGCTTCCCTGAGCTCTCCATACATCCCCATAAGCTCACGGAGGCCCTCAAGGCCTGTACTGTCTGCACCCTCCACCCTGATTTTCTACCTCTCTCTTTCCTGTCAATTTGGCTCCCATGGCACAGGTCCACTTGCTAGTCTGTGAATACAAAGTGTCCAGGACTTTGCCCTGTTCATTTATATTCACTTTATCGCTCTGTTCAAGTCTTTGTTCTCAAAGGTTATCTCCTCAGGGAAGCCTTCCTTGACCACCCTATGTAAAGTAGCAACCCAACTGCCCCCATGACTCGCCATGCCTGTGCACTAAATCTTCATTACACGTGGTGCCACCTGATACTCTGTTCTGTATTTATTCCTACTCACTCCTCAGTATCCATTGAGGATTGGTTCCAGGACAGCTGCAGATACCAACATCCACAGCTGCTCAAGTTCGTTATTATAAAATGGTGCGGTATTTGCAGGTAACCTATACATACCCTCCCCTGATGCTTTAAGTCATCTCTACTTATAATCGCAAATACAATGCAAATGCTATATAAACAGCTGCCACACTGTATATTTGTATTATTATTGTACTGTTATTTTAATTGTTGATTACTTTTTGAATATTTTTGGTCTGTGGTTGGTTGGATCTGGGGATGTGGTCCTTGTGGGTAGGGAAGGCTGACTGCTTGCTTTTTATTAGTCCTCTCTCCCTCACACCTACAAGCTCATAGAGTCTCCTCCCCAAGGTAATAGCACCTTCCCCAGCCCATCAACCATTTCTAACTCTAGCTTCACTAATGTCTGCAATTCCCTTGGGCATGAATGACCTTTGAGCCTAACCCTTGCAGGGCCCTTGCACCTCACAAGGAAAGTAGACTCTGGGGGAGAAGAGATTTCTTATTGTCTGCTTACTGATTGGTACCCTCGCCCAGGAGAGGAATAACTGAACCCATGGCTGGAAGGTCCACATGCAGGGGTGGGGAATCTTGTTAATGAGAATCCCACCCTCCTCCTGGCCCAGCAGTGCCAGCCACTGAGCAGAGGGGCCCAGCTAAAAATGTCAGGTGAGCCAGTCCCAGAGGCTATTAATGGGAGGTGATGCAATTCTTTCGAGGGCCTTGTTTATAGCTACACACAACAGCACCAACCCTGAGGTGGCAGCCGCAGGCCTATCAATCTGTCAGGATGGCCTTTCCTAATCAATGGGCCTTCCTGGTTGCTAAGAGGCCCACCAAATGCTGATGCCGTCATCTCAGCCAGGAAAGACGTAAATTCTGCAGCAGAGATGAAAATTCAGCAGTAAAATTGTTCCCAGAGGGAACGGGGCATAAACACTTTTGATTAAACTGGGGATGTAAGGGGGAGATGGAACTGTGTCCTGCCTTCTCCTGACCCACCCCTCTCTGCAAACAGAAAGTGCCCACCTTCTGGCCTTGTGGTCCATCTGTGATGCCAGGGAGCCTTGGGCAATTCCAACCAGGCTCCTAGGAGCGTGTTTGGTGTCGTGAAAAAATGTCCGAAAGGGAAGCAAGAAGACAGAAAACTGGTGTAGTCAAGTTTTGTTTATGCAGCTGCAAATGCCTTTGAAAAAGTCCAGTGGGCTGTGCTAAGTCAGTACCAACATCCACAGGCAAGGGAAGGAAGCAGCAGCTGCTGCTAAGGCATGAAAAAGGAATCCTGGCTTTACAGACCACACAACCCCTCCATCCCCATCCCCCACCCCCAACACAGTGATTTGCTCTAGATACTAGGCCTCCTTCAGCAACTGCAAGCAGACTGCACCTCCAACCCCCATTTGTGCATCTATCTAGCCCCTTACTCCAATGAAAGCCAGGATACCCTCATACCCACTTCTCTCCTGCCCAGGACCCCTCACCCCTGGAACTCAAAGGAGTTCCATAGGTGGTACCCCTCCACCATTCCCCTTCACTGGCTGTTCTGATGGCTGAAGCCTGGGCTCTGCTGCCTTCACCCACCTGTTTTCCCAGGAAAGGAGCACATGGGGCTTGTGGGAGGCTTGAGTTTGCCTCCTCCTAAGTGGGAGGGGAAGCTGCAGAAAGACTGTGAGCCTGCAGGCTGTCCCCTTCAGTGAACAAGCCAGTGGAAGGAGGCAGAAATGTCCCTTTCCTGCTTGGTCTGGTCTCACTTTTCTGGGTTAGGTCTCCACATGGACATACTCACTTTTTTATCCTTCTTCCATGGGACCATCAGTTTTCTGAGCAATTTTTTGTCCCCAGGAAGCTTCAAAAGTTTTTTCTCTCTACTGTGATAAAACCCAAGACTTGAGAGGTGTAGCAACCAGATGCCACATATGGACTGTTTGGATCCTGATTTGAACACACCAGCTGTAATAAGATACTGTTGGGAGTGGTGGGGCATGTGAGTATGGAATGGGAATCCAGATAAGATGAAGGAATTATTGCTAATTTTGTCAGGTGTGATAATGGCATTGGGTTATATTAAAAAGCAACTCCTGGCCGGGCGCAGTGGTTCATGCCTGTAATCCTAGCACTTTGGGAGGCCGAGGTAGGTGGATCATGAGGTCAAGAGATCGAGACCATCCTGGTCGACGAGATGAAACCCCGTCTCTACTAAAAATACAAAAATTAGGTGGGCATGGTGGTGCGCGCCTAAGGAGAATTGCTTGAACCCAGAAGGCGGAGGTTGTGGTGAGCCAAGATCACGCCATTGCACTCCAGCCTGGGTAACAAGAGCGAAACTCTGTCTCAAAAAAAAAAAAAAACCTCCTGGCTGGGCGCAGTGGTTCATGCCTGTAATCCCAGGAGTTTGGGAGGCTGAGGTAGGTGGATCACCTGAGGTCAGGAGTTCAAGACTAGCCTGGCCAACATGATGAAAGCCTGTCTCTACTAAGAATACAAAAATTAGCCAGGCATGGTGGTGGGAGCCTGTAATCTCAGGTATTTGGGAGGCTGAGGCAGGAGAATCGCTTGAACCTCGGAGGCGGAGGTTGCAGTGAGCCGAGATCGCACCGTTGCACCACAGCCTGGGCAACAAGAGTGAAATTCTGTCTCAAAAAAAAAAAAAAAAAAAATCCTTAGCAGAGATTTATGCTGAAGAATTGATGAGTTAAATAAGTCTGAAGTTTACTGTAAAATGTGTGGCATTTGGTTGCTATGTCTCTCAAGTCTTTTGGGTTTTATAACAGTAGGAGAGGAAGAACCTTTGAAGCTTTTCCTGGGAACAAAAAATTGCTCAGAAGAAAAGTAAGGGTTGATGAATGAAAGAGAACCAGCATGACTTGACTCCTGCTGCAGCAGGGTCACAGGTCCTGGAATCCACTATCCCATTCCTTAGACTTTTGAGCAAGTTTTGACAATTTTCCTGCTGAGGGGACCACATAAAAAGTTAAAAACCCTCTTTTAAATCTCTATAATCTTCCTCTCTTTAATCTCCATTCAACAGTTCCAAGTTCCCAACCCCAATCTGGGCTCATCCCATCCTTCCATATTTTATTCATGCCTTCCTCAAGGGACACAGCTTGGGGATTGAGGGGGGGAGGTCACTGGTGGGGACAACATCTCTGGGAAGGCCTCTGTTCTCTGCCACCCTCCTACCCTTTCTCCTACCCAATCAGAATTCCTCTCTCCTTTGATTTCTAGATGAGGAAGCTCTATTTTATCACTCACCACAGCTTTTCCCATCTTCCAGTTGGCTGAGTCCCAATCTGCCCCAGACACTGAGTCTTTCATTCAAGGTTGTCTTGTCCTTGTCTGTCACCTCCCCCTGAGCCAGAGCACAGTCAGTGTTTGTTCAACGCTACTGGACCCTTCTGCAATGTGAACATGCCCACCTTGGGGTCAAGAATTTCACAGACCAAGGAAAAAAGGCATCCGGTCCCACAGACATTTACAGAAGGTTGACAGTAGGGGTGACAGCTGGGCACACAGCCACCTCCAGCATGGGCTGGGCCACCTGTGCTGCCTGATGGAGGGGGGAAGCCACCACCTTCATGGTCACCTTCAAGGGAGGGGAAGGGGCCCATGGGGGAGACTTCAGCTCTTCCTGACATTATTCCTCTGCTCCATCCCTTCCTGCCAGACTCCCACAGCTGCAGAATCATCCATCAGCAAACCATTGCCCCACTTTCTGACACAGTCAGGCAGTGCTAGGCTGTAAGCACCTGCCTCAGAGAAGGAACAGGCAGATGCCTTCCCCAAGAGCCAGCCTGCCAGCTTCCTTGGGAATCGTTATTCAAGGAGATGTCACACACTTTCCTCTCCCACACAGCCCAGCATGGTGTTTAAACAGAGCACAGAAGCCAACCTTTAATTTGTAGTCTGAGCTGGGTGTGGTGGCTCACGCCTGTAATCCCAGCACTTTGGGAGGCAGAGGTGGGTGAATCACCTGAGGTCAGGAGTTCAAGACCAGCCTGACCAATATGGTGAAACCCCATCTCTACTAACAATACAAAAATTATCTGGGCATGGTGGTGGGCGCCTGTACTCTGTCACCCAGGCTGGAGTGCAGGCTGGAGTGCAGTGCCATGATCTCGGCTCACTGCAACCTCTGCCTTCTGGGTTCAAGTGATTCTCCTGCCTCAGCCTCCTGAGTATCCTGAGTAGCTGGGACTACAGGCACCCACCAGCATACCCAGCTAATTTTTGTATCTTTAGTAGAGATGGGGTTTCACCATGTTGGCCAGGCTGGTCTCACACTCCTGACCCCAAGTGATCTGCCCACCTCGGCCTCCCAAAGTGCTGGGATTACAGGCATGAGCCACAGTGCCGGGCCTGTATTCTATTTTGACCTTCCCTAAAGAGCTTCCCCTATATTGCTCCATCAGTGGCTTCCACTCCTTAGAAACCTGGCTGTGTGAAGGTCAAGGTCTATTAATATGGCCAAAGGGACATTTAATATTTGCAGTGTCTCAGCACCAAACAAGTATACGACATCCTGTGACAGGGCAGGAAAGACTATAGAGAGACTGTAGACAGGTCATTTGAACCAATTCTCTTGGGTAGGATGTAGGAAACAGAGCTTTTGCCATCTTCCGTTGGCTCCAAGGTGCACATTTTTGGATCTCTGAAGTCAGGATGATGCTATCATATTCTTACTGTTGGCCTGCAGTGAAGGCAGGTGCTCTGGGAGAGGACAGTACTATTTCTGCCACCCAGAGCCACCCAGCCTCAGACCGCTGGACATCATACTCTGCTTGATGTTGCTTTGGATCACATTGATTGTGCAAATTCAGAAAGCAAACCTGCATGAGTACCACCAGTCTGGGACTCCTGTTCCCAGGGGAGGATTTTTCACCCCCACTTAGTGTCGGGGTTAAGACACACAGGCTTCCTTGCTTCCCTTTTCCGCATTTACCCTCTCACTGAGGGCAGCATAGCTTTATTTGGTGGGGGGAGGGGGAGGCTCCTATTAGACTTTTTTCCTTAGTGGTCCATAAACGAATGATGCCTCTTATTACCAGGGTTTCTCATATCTGATGAAGAAAGCTTCTGTTACGAATATTATACATGATATTCGAAATGATCCTTCGTGCAAATAGAAAAGGAGACAGGATTTTGAAGAAATGGTTTCCGTGAGATCAAACTTTCATGTCTTGTCCTAAACCACTTCCTGCCTGAGCTGTTCACGGGGCATTTCCTCCCCAGCATCCGGAACCCACTGACTTCCCATGACTTTTGGGGTGAGGGCAGAGCTCTTCCACATGGCCACAGGCCTGCAGGTCCTGCCTGTTCTCCGGTCATTTCCACACTGTATTCCTATTCTCTCCCCTTCAGCTTCCCGTCCTCGCATTCTCAGCCTTCCACACTGCCTCTCATCACAGAGCCCCGGCATGATGGCTCTGCTGGGAAACTTCTCTTTCCCTGGTTGCCTTAGCTGATCTCTCTCCCAGTGTCACTGCTTCAGGACGCTTCCCCCGATGATGTCAGACCCCCGCGGCAGGCTGCCGCAGCACTGCATGCTTCTCTCCCAGCATGCGCACAAGTTGCAGCTCTACATTTGTGTGATTCAATGTTCAAATCCTTCGCTGGACTGAGCACTCCGTGAAAGCAGGAATCAGGCCTGTTTTCACTCAACATTGTATTGCCAGAGTCAAGCCAGGCATCTGGAAATTGGTGCCTAAGTATTATTTGTAAATGGATGGATGAATCCAGGTGTGAGCTGCCCTCCCAAGCAGGGAGTAAATCTCTGTCTCCTGGTGCAGCCAGGGGAAGCAGAAAGAGCAACAGACTTGACATCAGAAGGCCTCTACTTTTGCCATAATGATGTAACCTTGGGAAAATCCCATCTGCTCTCTGTTTCCTCATCTCTAAATTGGGAATATCATTTAGTCTGCCTCTATGATAGGAATGTTTTGTGAGGCCATGAAGACACTTTGAATTATACAAGCTATGCCCCACTCACAGGCTCCTAGCTCAGCACTGGGCTCATATGCCATGCTCTGTTGATATGAGCTGGTTGACTGGCTCCTCCTCCAGAGAAAGGGAGATGAGATCTTATAATCCTTGGGGAGGGGTGCTCAAAGGTTTGGGTCATGAAAGGACCATGTGGCCTTGAGCTTCCCCATCTTTACATTTGCCCTTTTCAAAAATTCTCACGGAATTTCTTAGGCCTTCAAGGCCTAATGGCCTAGGTACATAAGAAGAGGACCCTCCTGCTGAGGACCTTCTGGTCTTTATTCCTGACCCAAAATTGGGGCTGTTAGCTAGAAGAGGGGAAAGGGTGGAGAATGGGAAGACTCCTTCTTTCCTTCTCTCCTGCTTGCAGGCAGATCTTCAGACAGAGACAGGGCTGGGGAGGGACAATGACTGTGCCTTCTGGGACAGAGCTCCTAGGACAATCATCTGCTGGTATATGCATCCCACCTACACCTGGCAGAATGCATGAAGCTGCTTACTTTGCCTCTGGGAGCTGGACTTTAATATTAAGATACATATTTACAGCCAAGCCTTACTACTTTCTCCTATATACTCATCTTAGAGATGGGCATGCTGGGTTTCTGTTTCATCCGTATTGATTGACCATATCATTTTCCCTCTGAGTCAATTTTCTCATCAGTTACATGGAAATAATGATAATAATACCACCCACCTTCCTATCTCATTGAGTTCTTTTTTTTGAGAGTGAGTCTTGCTCTGTCGCTCAGGCTAGAGTACAATGGCACCATCTCGGCTCACTGCAACTTCTGCCTCCTAGGTTCAAGCAATTCTCCTGCCTCAGCCTCCTGAGTAGCTGGAATTATAGGCACCTGCCATCATGCCTGGCTAACTTTTGCATTTTTAATAGAGATGGGATTTCACCTTGTTGGTTAGGCTGGTCTTGAACCCCTGACCTCAAGTGATCTGCCCGCCTTGGCTTCCCAAAGTGCTGGAATTACAGGCTTGAGCCACCACGCCCGTCCTCATTGAGTTCTTTTAAGGATCAAATGAGGTCATTCGTCAGACATAATGTGCTCAGTAAGTGAAAAATCAATGCAAATGGAAGGTAATATTATTTTCTGTATGCATTTTAAATCCCTGCTTCTGTAGCAGGAGAGCATCATGCTGACTTAGTTATTTGCCGTTAACTCAAATATTACCCAAGATCTACAAGCCATAAGGTATGTAGGCAGAAAATGAGATGCGAACAAATCCTTCATCACAAATCAATTCTCAAGCATCTCCCTAGGGCCAGCCATCCTTCCTCTGGAGAAGGGGACCCTGAAGGGTACTCACTCTTTAATTGTTTTAACAGCTTGGCTGCCCTGCCAGCACCCTCCCAGAAAACCAGAGTGGTAAGGGGAGGGGCAGAATGAATAATTAATGGGCATCTCAGTGATTCTGGATTCTGTGGAGGGGGTAGAAGGCTATACTACAGACACACACCCCTGCAGGATCATTCTAGCTAGATGCTGCAGCTGGGCGGATGAGAACTTGCTTCCGCAAACCTCTTGGGATGCATTACTGACTGGACTCTGGCGCTCAGAGCTTCCAGCCGGCCAGAACTTCCTCGGTGCATGATCTGCTGAGCAGCTCTGATAGGGATTCGCTGGTGTCCTGGTGTAATGCGGAGCCCAGGCCCTTGGAGCTCCCGCTCTCCAGCTGGAAGCTGCCCACCAGCTCCTGGATCCACTGCAGGTCTGTGGAGAGCTCCTGCCTCAGAGCCTCAAACTGGGCCTCCACCTGGTCCAGTTTCCTGGCCACACTTCCAAGGTTGGACCCCGTGGCCTGGATATCTTCTCGCAGCAGCTTCTTCGATGACTCTACCTTGCGGAACTCATACCTGAGCTGGGACAGGTTATGCCGGGCGCTCTCACTCTCCTCTCGGTACCAAGCTTCCTTCTCATTGAAGATGGAGACCAGGGCCTCCACATCGTCCTGGATGGTATCATGGGCCTCCACCAGGGCACGGCATCCCAGGTCCACCCGAGCCACGTCTTCCACCACACAGGCAAAACGCTCAAAGTTGACATAGGTGTTGTTGGGAGGCATGCTTGAGTGGCATTTGAGAGTATACTCTCTCAGGCGCTTGGTCTTCAGCTGGGTGGGCTCTGTCTTGCGCTGTTCAGGGGCTCTGACTTCTCCTTTTGACTGGTGGGTGTTCAGACAGAAGAATCAGAGTGTTAATTTGCTACCCGCCCCAGAAGGCAGTCCGAAGGACAGGCAGAAGGCACACACATGGCCTCTGGTATTCACTGCATGCGTCAGGCCACAGGGAGAACCAGGGTGGGATGAGCACCCCCACAGACCATAAGTGAGGTCGAGGAGTATGGGGTGCTGCCTGCATGCTCATTCAGGGCAGAGGGGTCCACGGCCATTAGAGATGGTTCCACACACATAGCATTTAAGGGGTGCTCACGCAGACAAGCAGGCTGCAGCTGGGACTCCGCAGGCATCTGCGCAGGGCTGGAGTGTGCAAGGCCAGGGCTCACACAGCGGGGCTGAGGAGCATCTCTCCTTTGAGGCTCCTTGGTCCTTCCCCTTCCTTCAACGAGCAGAAGCTGAGCAGATGAAGCTGAGCAGATGAAGCTGACCTCCTCCCAGACTACTCCAGCCCTCCCTGTTCTGTCTTCCACAGGCCTCACCTTCTCTTTTTATTTGATTATTATTTTTTAGAGAGATGGGGTCTTGGCATGTTGCTCAGGATGGTCTTGAACTCCTGGACTCAAGCCATCCTCCTGTTGCCTCGGCCTCCAAAAGTGCTGGGATTACAGGCAGGAGCCACTGTACCCAGCCTGCCTCACCCTCTCTTATCTCTACCTTTCTTATGGTCATTTCATCCTTGCTGGCCTTCTCACTTAACAGTTAAGGTTAATGGGAAGTCTGGTGATGTGCCTGGGTGTGCATAGCTAGCCTGAATCCTGCTGAGTCCCACCCTCTCAAAGTGCTCTTTACGCCAGACACAAGACCCTCTGGAAAGCCAGCAGCTGGAAGCCAGACTGCAAGGCGAGTTAGGCAGGAATCCATCTTTTTGCCCCGACTCTCCCCAGAGGGAAAAGAATTGCCCCAACAGTGGCTGTCTCTCTTCCCCACGAGGCCTCCGTCTCAGGCCCCATTCCTCAGGGCCTGAGGAGCTGGGTGGCTGATTCGAGTGTCATCTTTGACCCAGATCCCCAAAATCCGAAAGGAGGAGGCCTGGTCACATTGTGGTTTTCAATTGTCACTGATCTCTCTACACCTGGGGAGTCCTGATTTCCACTTGGAGAAGGGACAGTGGCATGCCCTCCAACAAAGAACACTGTGTAAGGTGGCCACAAAGAAAAACGGGTACAGCTGAGTTTTGTGAGGTTTCGTTTCATAAGTTACCTGAATATGAGAGACACAAAATAGCAAGCAAATAAACCTATTTGAACAAGCCCAGGCCCTTTGGGGCCCCTGGCTAGCTTTCATCTGTGCCCGGGGTCAGTGCTTCAAGCAAAGGTCTCTCCAGTGGACCCTCTGCATGTGGCTACCCAGCCCGGCCCTGGCGACAGAGCAGGGACCCTTTGCCCATTGGAACTCATGACTGTGCCCTTACCGTGATCCAGGGGTGTCTGAGAGCCTCTTGGATTGTGAGCCGTTTCCTGCAAAGAGGTTTGAGAAACAGTGATGATCCATGAGGACAGAAGCTGGGAGCAACCATCTAAAAAGAGTTCTTACACTTTTTAGATCAATATTTTGGCATTATTTGTCCACTGCCATCAAACCAGGGGAATGGAGGATGCAGAGATGATTGGGAACTGGCTGCATATCCTGCACTCTAGGGGAAGGAAGTGGCCCAGGCAGATCCCTCAATAGAGTGGCCTTGTTACCTAAACCCATACCTTCAGTCCGAAAGCTGAAAGGTCTAAGAAGAGTCATAAATGTGCTAATGAGCTTCCAGAATCCTCCAGCTCCCCATTGCTAAAACCATGATCTCTGCTCTTCTGTTTGCCTTCTGGATCCCTTCTCTGCCTTTCGCTGCTCCGTACCCAGGTCAGTGACTCTCCCTAACACTGCTCTTACACAGGAAAATCAGGGACCTTGCACTCCAGACAACTCCGAAGTCTGTGGGATGGAGAGGACATGGTGTTCTAGTCTGTGGATCTTTCTTCCTGCCCCATCCAAGGCATGCTCTGGCACCCTGCAATTCCCTGCCTATCTCCTATTTGGCCCCATTGCCATGGGGCTCACCCTGGCCCCTGAAGAAGGGATAAGGTTAGCATGTCTCCCACCCTCCCACTGAATTGTTCTCTCCAAGCCCCCCTGCTCCCACTCCCAACCTCAACTGGCTTGAAAACCCTGCCATTTAACCTTTTCAAATCTGAAATCCAGGGACAGACTACACAAGGTAATGAGCCCTAAAGAAACCCGGGCTGACGTCCAGCACACAAACACACACACACACATACACACACGTTATTTACATTTCAGCAGCAGAAGAAAGCAGAAAGACTTGAGCAAACAAGAGGAATGCCGCATCTTGGCTAGGCCACACTTCCCAGCACCTGCCCGGATTAGACTACAACGGTGCAGATGACAGCTATGTCAAAGCTGGGACACACTGACAGGTCTTTGAGAGGGGCGACAGGAAGCCAGCAGTACCTGAGAAACCAGTGGCTTCTCTGTCCTCTTACCGGGTCTCTTTAACCAGAAGCTTCCGAATGAAGTCCTTGGCCAGCTCGCTCGTCTGGCTGAAGAATTCCTCATCAAAGTCATAACTCACTGCTGTGATATTTGCCAGTGTTTCCTGCTTTGTGTCTCCCAGGAAAGGGGACGCTCCACTTAGGCTGAATACAACAGAGGAAACCACATAAGTAAGGGAAAGTAGATGGAAATGGGGATGATGGACTTGGGGAACCCTGCCCCATGACTGCTGCACGGAGCTGGAAGGCTCCCAGCAACACAGCCTGCCCCCTCTAAGCAGCCAACCATCAGTCTGTTCAACTGAGTCCAATTCCATACACATTCATGGAGCTTCTCCTAAGCACCTGACAGAGAGAAACTGTGTCTTCACAGGACTCGAAAGCAGAGGGGAGAGAAACACAGTGGCATGGCTCTTTGTGATTCCCCAGCTGGACAAACCGGAATATATTTTGTGTCATTGTGAGAACACAAAAGCCCTCTATGATTTTCCATTTTCTATAGGATCACATCGAAACTCCTCAGCAAGGCAGTAAGAGTTGGTCCTGGGCCAGGCACAGTGGCTCACGCCTGTAATCCCAGCACTTTGGGAAAGCCAGCCCAAGGACAGGGGAGCACAGGAAAGAGGGGGGCCCAGGGCAGCTTCATGGTAGCACGGATATTTACACCGTTTGTGTCTTGAAGAATAAAGAGGCTGTCAGCAGTCAAAGAAGGAGACGGAAAGGCCTTCTGGGTTACAGGAGCAACTTGAGCAGAGCCCCAAGTTTGGAAAGAGATGGCCCATTAGGGACTAGAAAGATCTGTGTGGTTCCCCCACAGGGTTTGTCAAGGATGTCATATAAATAATGACTCCTATATCTACTATCTCCTGATTCATCTTTCAGTTGTTCATGGGATGCCTTGGTAGAGGCATGATCCAGCGGTCTCCGGACCAGACATGCCATTGCCCCAAACTCACTGTGTCCAAACCCCATTCCAAGCACTCCCCTGATGAATGACATGACTTTACAAATGTACCCAAGCTAGAAACACAGGAGTCACCTTGGACCCTTCTTTCTGTTCCCTTGCCACATCTGACTGGCCAAAAGCTTTTTGGTCGATTCCATTTACTAAATATCTCTTGAAAGTCATCCCCATCTCCACAGCCACTTTCTTAGCATGGTGGCAGCAAGGTGCACTGGAAAAATTTTGATATTGCAATCCTGGGTTTGAATCCCAGCTCAGCCACTCGTTAGCTATGTGAAGCTAGAACCCCTCTGCAATGTAGTTTCCTCATCTGTAAAATGAGGAAAATAAAATTCCCATCTCACATGATTGTGAAGAATGAATGCATACAAAAGCATTCAGGCAATCCTGGCCCACACTAAGGGCTCTGGAATTAATGGCCATTATCACTGTCATTGTGAGAACACAAAAGCCCTCTATGATTTTCCATTTTCTATAGGATCACATCGAAACTCCTCAGCAAGGCAGTAAGAGTTGGTCCTGGGCTGGGTGCAGTGGCTCACACCTGTAATCCCAGCACTTTGGGAGGCCGAGGCGGGTGGATCACGAGGTCAAGAGATCGAGACCATCCTGGTCAACATGGTGAAACCCTGTCTCTACTAAAAATATAAAAAATTAGCTGGGCATGGTGGCACGTGTCTGTAATCCCAGCTACTCAGGACGCTGAGGCAGGAGAATTGCCTGAACCCAGGAGGCGGAGGTTGCAGTGACCTGAGATCGCGCCATTGCACTCCAGCCTGGGTAACAAGAACGAAACTCAAGAAAAAAAAAAAAGAGTTGGTCCTTCCCCATGCTCGGTACATTTCAGCCACACTGAAGGTTTACCGTTTTTTTCTCACACAGTTTCCTCAGCCAGCACAGCCCCTCCTTCCTTCTCCACCAACAGAATTAACTTCATTCTTTACATCCTAGTTCAAATCGACCCACCAATCACGTGCTCTTTCTCTTTCTCTCTCAATAAACCTTCAGCAATTCAGCAAACCAGTGGTTCCCCATCTGTGTCTCAAAAAGGTGTGTTCATGCCTCTAGCCTAACTTTGGTCCTACTGGGTATGAGTTAGGTGTATGGTGTGTCTTCCATAGACAGGGAGCACCAGCAAGCAGGGAAGACCCTCCTCCATGTCAGTATCCTGGTGCCTGCCTGGTATGGTGTTTGTCTTGGAGGAGACCTCAACAAAGCTGTTAAATTCAAATGAGCCACAAGAAGACTATGTGCTCAGTAGACACTGGGATTCCCTTTGTGTGTGTGTGTGTGTGTGTGTGTGTGTGTGTGTGTGTGTGTGAGACAGGGTCTTGCTCTGTTGCCCAGGGTGGAGTGCAGAGGTGCAACTACGACTTACTGCAACTTCTGGGCTCAAGCAATCCTTCTGCGTCGGCCTCCCATAGCTGGGACTACAGGTGTGTGACACCACATCCAGCTAATTTTTTTTTTTTTTTTTTGTAGAGATAGGGTTTAATCATGTTGCCCAGGCTGGTCTCAAACTCCTGGACTCAAGTATCTGCCCACCTCAGCTTTCCAAAATGCTGGGATTACATGGGATTCCTTAATGTTTCTATATGAAAATTAGAGTCCTGAATAAATTAAAGTTTCAAGAGTTACATCCGACTGTTCTGGCTCTGATCTGAAACTACAGATCGATGGTTCTCAGCCTTCTCTTTGCATCAAATTCAGCTGGAGTTTTAAAAGATGCAGATACTAAGTCCCTATCCCTAGCACTTGTGATGTAATAGATCTGGGGTGGGGCCTGTGCCATGGTGGGTATTAAAAGCTCTGCTATGCAGCCAGGGTTGAGATCCTCTGCGGCAGCTCGGGGGGATCCACCATGTCACACAGGGCTCCTAGTCCAAGTGCTGCTGGGAGAGTCAGAGACCAGGCTCACAGGGATCACTGAAAGAATGAGCCCCTTGGCTGCTGAGCACTGGTGCTCCCTGCCCCATCTGGTTGACTCTTACTCTAGTGCGCTATAAAAATAGTATTTTCCATGTGTGCTGTGAAGGGAAAATGGTTGGGAAGGGCCGATGGAATGAACACTCACTTGCCTACGGTGCACGTGCCAGTGTCAGGGCAACGTGCACATGTTACTTATTTAGCTTTCACAACACGCCCATGGTGGGAAGTTTGGGATTCCTATTTTTCTGATAAGAAAAACAAGCCCAGAGGTTAAGTCCCTGTCCAGGGCCATAGAGTTAGAAAGCGACAGTATCACAGGACTCCAGCCCAGAGGTAGCTCACCACACACTGGAGCCATGCAGGAAATCTCTGTGTAAGCAACTGAATACTTCAGGGACAGGCAAAGAGGAAGGAGAAGAGAGACAGGAAGAAAAGGGAATCTGGGGAAAAGAGGGAAAACGGGGAAAGAAAGAAAAGAGAAGATTGGGGAGGCCATATGCAGCTTCACAGGGCTGTCCCAACAGTTCTGAGTGAAGGACTGGGCATGGTGGCTCACACCTGTTATCCCAGCACGTTGGGAGGCTGAGGGTAGACCACAAGGTCAGGACTTTGAGACCATCCTGGCCAACATGGTGAAACCCATCTGTACTAAAAATACAAAATTAGCCCTGCATGGTGGCACACACCTGTAGTCCCACCTACTCGGGAGGCAGAGGCAGGAGAGTTGCTTGAATCTGGGAGCTGGAGGTTGCAGTAAACTGAGATTGTGCCACTGCAATCCAGCCTGGGCGACAGAACAAGACTCTGTCTCAAAAAAAAAAAAAAAAAAAAAAAAGAGTTCTGAGAGTCTGAGTGAAAAGTGACATTCTCCAGTACACCTCAGCTTGGGGGAGGCTGGGCAGGGGAGCCCTGGCATTCCATAGTAGGAATGCAGACACAGGCTGTGCAGAGCACAGGCTGCACCCCTGGATGTCTGCTCAACCTCAATGCCAGGGTCAGATGGATGAAATGGACTCAGAGTGCTTAGCCTCAGGCTTCCTGTGTAGACTTAACACATCCGGATTATGGTGGGTACTTACTAAATGTCAGTCTGTCTGACTGCCCCTCTCTCATTCCTTCTGGTTCCCCCATATTTAAGCTGAGCCAGAGACCCTGGATCAGAGATACTCACAGGATGTAGGTGATGACACCTATGCTCCTGTAAAGTAAAGAACAGTTGAGTCAGTGCCGCCTGGGTCCAGTCCCCGACCAGCAAGGGACACCTGCATGGATCTAAGGGGAAGAGGTCACTTGCTCCCCCACAGCAGCTCCTAGATACTGCCTCATGCTCCACACCCTTCTCCATCCCGCCCTTCAGCAGCAGCCTGGGATGTGTTTGGGGTCATCGAGCTCTGAACCCTGAGTCTGAGGACCCAAGTTCAAGGTCAGAATGCTGCATGTGCAGGCTGTGTGATTTGGCTAAGTCCCTTACCACCTCTGAGCCCTCTTTCTGTATAAGGATAATGATAACCACCTCATAGGATTTTAGAAAACCAGGTAACAAAGGTGCTCAGCCAACTGTAAAGCAGCATCCAAATGGAATGAGTCACATCTGTGCAGAGAACTAATCCCTGCAGTATCCGCAGGCCCAGCACAGTGCCCTGATGCGTGAACTTTCAGTGACCACTTGGTTGGCCGACTGAGCAAGTTACTGTTACTATTATTTTTAACCTGGCTGGGGCAGGCCCAGGGGTGAGCCTGCACCTCTGCCTTGCCTCTCTTCTTGCTCCTCCACTGCTGACAAAGCTCTGACCTGGTCAGGTGCTAACCGGCCTCAGGTCCAGGCCTAGTGGCCCTCCAGCTGCCCTGGCCACAGGTCTAACATACTGGGGGAGCCACCAGAGGCTCTGAAAGGTGAGTGTGGAGTAAGGGGCTTTTATGGTTAAGGGGATGTCACCTGGAGCAGGATCTGAGGCCTTCTGCCCTTGGAAGGATCCCTAGGTCACCTGGGTGGCCTGTCCAACTTACCACATGTCAGCCTCCAGACCCAGGGGCTCGTAGTTCACAATTTCTGGAGCTGAAAGAGGTCATATTAAAGGGTCAACAGGAGTGTGAACATGAGAGGAGAGAGAGTTGTAAGGAATTTTAGGGAATTTGGTACTAAATGTCTCTATCCTGAATCCCCAGGAAGAGTAGAGCAGCAGATAAAGGTGGTCTGCATCTAAGAATTCTGAGGAAAGGGGTTGCCATGGCCCAAATGTTTGTGTTTCCCCAAAATTCATGTTGACAGCGAATCCCCAATGTAATAGTATGAAGAAGTAGAGTCTTTAGGAGGTGACCAGGTCACGAGAATGGAAACCTCACAAGCAGGACTGTACCCTTATAAAGAGGCCCAAGGGCTGGGTGTGGTGGCTCACACCTGTAATCCCAGCACTTTGGGAGGCTGAGGCGGGAGGATTGCTGGAACCCAGGAGTTGGAGACCAGCCTGGGCAACACAGGGATACCTCCATCTCTGCAAAAAATTTTTAAAAATTAGCTGGGCATGGTGGCACATGCTTGTAGTCTAAGGTACTCGGGAAGAGACTGAGGTAGGAGGATTGCTTGAGCCTGGGAGGTTGAGGCTGCAGTGAGCCATAACTGCACCACTACACTCCAGCCTGGGCAACAGAGTGAGACCCCATTTGAAAAAAAAAAGAGAGAGAGAGAGAAAGAAAAAGAAAAAGAGGCCTGAGAGGGCTTGTTTGCCCCTTTGGTTATTTGATGACTTAGCAAGAAGGTGCCATCTATGAAACAGGGTAAACTCTCATCAGATTCCAAATCTGCTGGCACCTTGACCTTGGACTTCCCATCCTCCAGAACTGTGAACAATGAACTTCTGTTCTTTATAAATGACTCACTTTAAGGTATTTCATTAAAGCAGCCCAAAAGGTCTAAGAAAATTGTTGTCTGTTATCCTGGTTACAAACCAGGCTCACCCCTGGGCCTGCCCCAGCCAGGTTAAAAATAATAGTAACAGTAACTTGCTCAGTCGGCCAACCAAGTGGTCACTGAAAGTTCACGCATCAGGGCACTGTGCTGGGCCTGCAGATACTGCAGGGGTTAGTTCTCTGCACAGATGTGACTCATTTCATTTGGATGCTGCTTTACAGTTGGCTGAGCACCTTTGTTACCTGGTTTTCTAAAATCCTATGAGGTGGTTAACCTTTTACAAACAGGCCTTGAGAGAGAGGAAGAGGAAAAGTACACAGAATACCTGAGAAAGGAAGAGAACGGCAGGGAAATGAAGGTACAGAAGGAGAAATGGGGCCTAGGCTATGAGGCCTGCTTTAGAACTCTCTGGTAAAGACCAGTCAAGTCAGTGCTGGAAAATGGTGAAGAAGAAGGCAGAGAGGGACTCCACTTTCCTCTGAGTCTGGTCTGAAAGAGGGTACCTCCCACCTGATGAGGAGGGGGACATCCTTGGGGTCCCCTGGGACAATGAGCTTAAGGGGCAGCCAGGGGTAGATGTCCAGGGACAGGTTCCAGGGCCAGAGCCATCATGTTTGGAGCCATCCATGTACAGAAAAGAGTAGCAGCTGAGCCAACGATGTGATGACCAGGAGAGGGTGCAGAGTCTGCTGAGGAGAGAAGAGGACCAAATCCTTTCCAGAAATCAAGCAGATAATCCCTAAAAAGTGAGTGTTGAATTTCACAGCCACCGCAGTGCCCAGAATGTCAAGAAGGTACAGGCTGGGCATGGTGGCTCACACCTGTAATCCCAGCACTCTGGGAGGCTGAGGCAGGCTGATGACTTGAGGCCAAGAGTTAAAGACCAGCCTGGCCAACATGGCAAAACCCTGTCTCTACTAAGAATACAAAAAAAAAATTGGCTGGGCATGGTGGCAGGTGCCTATAATCCCAGCTACTTGGGAGGCTGAGACAGGAGAATTGCTTGAACTTGGGAAGTGGAGGTTGCAGTGAGCCGAGATTATCCAACAAGTTAGGCACAGAAATTTGGACTATGCATTATAGAGACTCTTATAGCAATGTGACATTGCTGTGACATCCCAACTGTGGTCATTTTTCTAATACTTTATTTGTTTTTATTTTTATTTTTTTAAGATGGAGTTTCACTCTTTTTGCCCAGGCTGGAGTGCAATGGTGCGATCTTGGCTTACTGCAAGATCTGCCTCCTGGGTTCAAGTGATTCTCCTGCCTCAACTTGTGAGTAGCTGGGATTACAGGCATGTGCCACCATGCCCAGCTAATTTTGTATTAGTAGAGACGGGTTTCTCCACGTTGGTCAGGCTGGTCTCGAATTCCCGACCTCAGGTGATCTGCCCTTCTTAGCCTCCCAAAGTGCTAGGATTGCAGGCATGAGCCATAATGCCTGGCCTCCAGCCTGGTGACAGAGTGAGTCCCTGTCTAAAAAAAAAACAAAAAAAAAAACAAAAAAAGGTGGAATATTATGCAGCCATCAAAAACGATGAGTTTGTGTCCTTTGTAGGGACATGGATGAACCTGGAGAACATCATTCTCAGCAAACTGACACAAGAACAGAAAATGAAATACCGCATGTTCTCACTCATAGGCGGGTGTTGAACAATGAGAACACATGGACACAGGGAGGGGAGCACTACATACTGGGGTCAGTTGGGGGGAATAGGGGAGGGACAGCGGGGGAGTTGGGGAGAGATAGCATGGGGAGAAATGCCAGATATAGGTGAAGGGGAGGAAGGCAGCAAATCACACTGCCACGTGTGTACCTATGCAACTATCTTGCATGTTCTTCACATGTACCCTAAAACCTAAAATGTAATAAAAATATATATATATATATATATATGCCATAGAAATTAAATTTAAAAAAGGACAAAGAAGTGGAAGTAAGATTGTAGGTGATACTTTTTAAAAGCTCGGCAATCATGGAGGCAAAAGAGGGCAGTAGCTTGAGAAGGAGGAAGGACTGAGCCCGTACAACTGCAAACAGAAAAGGTAGAGAGTGGGAAAGTGTGAGTTTATCTAAGACAGTATCAAAACTATTGCATCCACAGCCTATGTCTGCCCTTCTGTCCTCTTGCCTCCCTCTACTTCAAGATACAGGGAACTACTCTCCATGTTTTGCTGATGTTTTAGCTTTATAAAAATGCTGTCTTAAGATCGGGCATGGTGGCTCAGGCCTGTAATCCCAGCACTTTGGGAGGGTGAGGGAGGTGGATCAGATCAGGAGTTCAAGACCAGCCTGGCCAACATGGTGAAACACTGTCTCTATTAAAAAATACACAAATTAGCCAGATGTGGTAGCAGGCACCTGAATTCGCAGCCACTTGGGAGGCTGAGGCAGGAGAATCGCTTGAACCCTGGAGACAGAGGTTGCAGTGAGCTGAGATCATGCCATTGCACCCCAACCTGGGTAACAAGAGTAAGACTCCGTCTTAAAAAAAAATGCTGTCATACTGCATGTGATTTATAGTCACTTTATTTTTTCACTCAACATTTATGCTTCTAGTGTTCACTGAATGTTCATCTATGCTTTTCATATTTTCACTGCTAAATAGTAATCCATTGTGTGAACGTGTATCATTTTTTAGTCATTCTCCTCTCAGAGTTCATGTAAATGGTTTCCATGTTTTAAAATTATTGGAACTGCTGGGCTTGGGGGCTCACGCCTGTAATCCCAGCACTTTGGGAGACCAAGGCCGGTGGCTCACCTGAGGTCAGGAGTTCAAGACCAGCCTGACCAACATGGAGAAACCCCATCTCTACTAAAAATACAAAAATTAGCCAGGCATGGTGGTGCGTGCCTATAGTCCTAGCTACTCCGGAGGGAGGTGAGGCAGAAGAATCACTTTAACCTGGGAGGTGGAGGTTGCAGTGAGCCGAGATGGCACCACGGCACTCCAGCCTGGGTGAAAGAGTGAGATTTCTTCTCAAAAAAAAATTATTGGAACAGTTGCTATGAACCTTTTTTTTGCATGTGTTTCCTACTGTGCACACGAAAGACTTTCTTTAGGTCAGTGATATTCAGAGTTTGGTCATTGGTTCAACAGTATAGGCACAAAAACTTGGACTGTGCATTTAGAGACTCATAGCAAGGTGATATTGCTGTGCCATCCAAACTGCTCGTTTTTCTAATAATTTATTTGTTTTATTTTTATTTTTTTAAGACAGAGTTTCACTCTTTTTGCCCAGGCTGGAGTGCAATGGCGCAATCTTGGCTTACTGCCAGATCTGCCTCCTGGGTTCAAATGATTCTCCTGCCTCAGCCTCTCAGTAGCTGGGATTACAGGTGTGTGTCACAAAAAAAAAGACTGGCTAATTTTGCATTTTTAGTAGAGATAGAGTTTCACCATGTTGGCCAGACTGGTCTCAAACTCCTGATCTCAGGTGATCCACCCACCTCAGCCTCCCAAAGTGCTGGGATTACAGGCATGAGCCACCACGCCTGGCTGAAATTTTTTTTTTCTTGTTTTTTAAGATGGAGTTTTGCCCTTTGTTGCCTAGGCTGGAGTACAATGGCGTGATCTCAGCTCATTGCAACCTCCGCCTTTCAGGTTCAAGTGATTCTTCTGCCTCAGCCTCCATAACAGCTGGGACTACAGGCATGCTCCACCATGCCTGGCTAATTTTTGTATTTTGAGTAGAGATGGGTTTTACTGTGTTGGCCAGGATGATCTCGATCTCATGATTTCGTGATCCGCCCGCCTCGGCCACCCAAAGTGCTGGGATGACAGGTGTGAGCCACCGCGCCTGAGTGCTGGGATGACAGGTGTGAGCCACCGCGCCTGACCAACTTTTTTTTTCAAGGCTTTCATCATAGATTCAGAAGCACAACTCACTTTCGCATGCCATTGATCTGAGATATATACACACTGATTTCTGATTTCTGTCATCAACACATCTTTGTCTATTTTTTTTCTGTGCCTTTCTTTTCCTTTCTTGTCCTCTTTTTAAAAAAAATGAAGATTTTTGGTTAGTTTTGCTGTTTCTTACCCCCCCAACTTCTTTTTTTTAACGGCTATCCTTAAGACATAACTTTGGATATCTGACAAATTCTAACGTAAATCAACACTCTGACCTTCCTCCAACAATCTAAAAACCTTAGAACATTGATTTTAAACATTGCTCCATCTAACATTTTCTTCATGTTTTAGTTCTATCCTTTTGTTAATCCCACAATCAAAACGTCTTCATCACAACTCTATTGCTTTTTGTTTTTTGAAGAGAGTCTTGCTCTTGTCACTCAGGCTGGAGTGCAATGGTGCAATCTTGGCTCACTGCAACCTCCACCTCCCGGGTTCAAACAATTCTTCTGCCTCAGCCTCCCTAGTAGCTGGGATTACAGGCACGTAGCACCACACCCAGCTAATTTTTATATTTTTAGTAGAGATGGGGTTTCACCATGTTGGCTGGGCTGGTCTCGAACTCCTGACCTCAGGTGATCCACCTGCCTTGGCCTCCCAAAGCGCTGAGATTATAGGTGTGAGCCACAGCACCCGTCCTATTGTTTTATTTTGTTTTTTGAGACAGAGTCTCACTGCCATCCAGACTGGAGTGCAGTGGCACTATCTTGGCTCTTTGCAACCTCCGCCTCCCAGATTCAAGCAATTCTCCTGCCTCGGCCTCCAGAGTAGCTGGGACTACTGGCACGCACCATCATGCCTGGTTAATTTTTGGTATTTTTAGTAGAGATGGGGCTACACCATGTTGGCCAGGCTGGTCTCGAACTCCTAGTCTCAAGTGATCCACCCATCCTGGCCTCCCAAAGTGCTGAGATTACAGGCATGAGCCACTCTGCCCAGTCATCATCACAATTTTAGGCAGAAAAATGTTTATATTATTTGCTTAATATTTACTGGTTTCTTTGCTTCTATTACTTCTTGCTTTGAGGCCTCCCTTCAGAGTTCATTTCTTTAATTCAGAAGTACATCTTTTAGAAGGTCTGTTAATGATGGTCTATTGGTGGTAAACTCTATATCAATGTTTTGGGTTTTTTTTTTCTTAATTGTTCTTTTTTGTTTTTCTTAAATCGTTTGCCTCTTTTTTGAGACAGGGTCTCACTCTGTCATGCAGGCTAGAGTGCAATGGCGTGATCTTGGCTCACGACAACCTCTGCCACCTGGGTTCAAATGATCCTCCCACCTCAGCCTCCCAAGTAGCTGGGATTATCTGTATGCACCACCACACTTGGCTAATTTTTGTTTATTTGGTAGAGACAGGGTTTCACCATGTTGGCCAGACTGGTCTCAAACTCCTGACCTCAAGTGATCCACCCACCTCAGCCTCCCAAAGTGCTGGGATTACAGGCATGAGCAACTATGCCCCGCCTCATTCTTGAGATATATTTTTTTCTGGGCACACAATTATGGGTTTATTTTTTATTTTTCCTCAGCTCTTTGAAGATAATATTCCACTGGATACCGGCTTCCATCCTTGATTTGAGAAATATGTTGTTGATCTTATTGTTTTTTTGTAGGTATTTGTCTTTTCTCTGACTGCTTTGTCTTGGTACCCTTCAGTTTCACTCTAATGTGTCCAGATAAGATTTCTGTTCTTTCTATGTCTGTGGATGCATGGATGCCGTTCTGAAAACTCTCAGCCATTCTCTTCAAATAGTGCTTCTCCTTTTATTTGTCTCTATTTCCTCCTTTTAGAATGCCAAAGAGACCGATGATAGCCTTCCTCTTTCTACCCTCTTTCGCTCACCCTCTCTTTCATATTTCTATGTCTCCGTCACTGTGTGGTTTTCTTAGAGACAACCTGGCATAATGGGAAGAGCACAGGCTTTGCTGTTGGCTGGTTCTGTATTTGCATCTCAGCTCCATGGCCTTGCATTGCCTTGAACAAGGCACTCGTTGGAGAAAATAATCCGAATGGCTACAGGAAGCCATTCGAGGATAATTAAGACGATGTCTGTAGAGCATGAGACATAGTGCCTGGCACACAGCAAGGGCTCCCTGCCCTGGGGTCTGTGGGGTCTCTGGGCAGCATTCTATAGTGGCTGCAGAGCCTGAAAATCCAGCAGGTGGCTGGTCTGATACATTCTGTCTCTCTTTTTGATTTGACTGTGGTCAGAAGTTTTAGCATCCAGATGCTGAGGACGTCATGCCTGCTCTCTCTCTCCAAGACCACTCCAACTCCCAAAGCAGACAAGCAGATGGTGGTTCTCAGCGCTCATTCCTTCTCTCCCTACAGGCTGTTTCTTCATGACCCCAACCTCTGGCCCAAGCCCAATAAGGAGGCTTCTGGGGTACAGAATGGGCACGGGCCTGGGCCAAGGGTGAGAGAAACAGAGGGAGGAGAAAGCAGCCAAGGCTCCATGGGAGCTGGGCACCGCCATACATGAATAAAGCCAGGCATAGAGGAGAGGCGAGTGGGTGGATTTGGTATTTGGCAGATGATTTCCTTTTTCTTTTTCAGGAAATCAAAAGCTAGTTCAGAGAAGGTTGAGTTTATGGGAATTCAAGAGGGCGAGGTATTTTTAAATCTTCACAAGAATAAACTCATCTAAGAGCAGGAGGTGGGGCCAGCCCTGCCAGGCTTTAACAGCGTAGGCTGTAGCCCCACTGAGAGCCACAGGGCCCCACTCAGCCCTTACCCTACTGAGCACTCAGAGCCTACACCTGGGCCCTCACCCACAGGCCCAACAAGGCATTTCCTCCCCCAACCATTAGGTTTCTAGGGATGTCCCAAGGCATCATCTCTTTGCCCAGAGGCCATGGCCCCAGACACAGGTTTCTTCCCAAGATCTCTACCTTTGATGCCAGATTCTTAGCTGAGAGAGAAACAAGCCTAAAACTCACCCACAAATTCTGGCGTCCCAAAAATGTTCTTAAATTCAACTCCATCTTCTATTTCGTGAGCCAGACCAAAGTCAATCAGCTTGATGTGTGGAATGGGAATATTCTTGTCTAACAACATAATGTTTTCTGGCTGGACAACAAAAAGGGGAAAGAAAAACAAGGAAGGAAAGAAAAGAAGAGACGGTAATTAAAGCCTAGTTTATGTTTTGGCTTTGGGGTTTGGGGTGGGACTTGGTGTTCTTTTTAGGAGAATGAAACAGCATAAACTCTTCCTTGTTTTAGTGTCCTCAGTCTTCTCTATGAACTCAAAGACAGGCAAAGCATTGAGGGCACGGCCTGGGTTTTACCAAACCTTCTGCTCACAGCAGAACTGAAGACTCCAGCCTTCATGTCTCTTCTGTCTCTGAGTGGCAGATCCCTTTAACGCCATGCCTCTGTTTTCCCATCTGTCAAATGGGGTCAATGAGATACTTGCAGCATTTCCTGTAAACAAACCCAGCACTGCTGTGTGAGTGTGAAAAGGGCGGGGACATCCCAGGTTAGCCTCTGTTTATACTCCGCTTACTGACCTCGGTCTTCCTGACCACCTCTTTCCCCTGGCCAGCCAACTTCCTGTTGACAACATTCCCCTCCTCTGGACTAATTGTGTGACCCACGTTTCTCTAGGTGTTTAACTAATTTTGGTCCTCAGCAGGACACGGGAAAAAATGCACCCGATTTCCAGGGAAAATACCAGCTGCTCAGGCTATTTCCAGCCCAGCAAGCAGCTGCCAGGACTGACACAACAATGTAGATGGGTGCAGGGCAGGGGACAGCCCCTCACACACCCATGGGCCTGGCCCTCGCACACCCCAGACTCCCAGTGAGGCTGCAGTGGGAACCTGACCCCTGCCTTCTCACTCCTACCCAACCACTCAGACTACAAGCCCCTCTGCTTCATCCACTTTCTCCCACTCCACACAACTTTCCTTTGCTCCATGCTAAAGGAAATGTCCTGAAAATGCACATCCACACAAAATCTGTATATAAATGTCCACAGCAGCATATTCACAATAGCCCTAAAGGGGAAACAGTGAATGAATGGATAAACAAGATGTGAACACCCATATCACATCGGAATCCACGTATGAATGCTGCTTGGCCATAAAAAGGAACGAAGTCAAAGAAACGAGTAAAAAGGAGTAAAGTCCTACTCACACCTGTGATCCCAGCACTTTGGGAGTGAGGTGGGTAAAGAACATGGCAAAAACCCCATCTCTCCTGAAAATACAGAAATTAGCCAGGTGTGGTGGTGTGCGCCTGTAGTCCCAGCTACTCAGGAGGCTGAGACAGGAGAATCACTTAAACCCGGGAGGTGGAGGCTGCAACCACTACGCTCCAGCCTGGGTAATAGAGTGAGTCTCTGTCTCAAAAAAATGACAAAAATAAAATAAATAACAATGAAAAGGAATGAAGTACTGATACCTGCTGCAGCAGCAATGAACCTTGAAAACATTATGCTAAGGGAAACAACCAGTCACAAAAGACAAAAGATATTCCATTTATACAAAATACCCAGCATGGGCAAATCCACAGAGACAGAAAGTAGATTCATAGTCGCCTAGGACTAGGGGAGTGGAGAGATGGGGAGTACATGGTTTCTTTCCTATTTTCTATAAATGATTGTGGTGTTGGTTATATAACTTTGAAAATGGTACACATTAGCGAGTAAATTGTGTAGTGTGTGAATTGTATCTTCACTAAGCTATTAAATAAGTATTTAAGAAGATTAAACATCCCTGTTTCTCGAAGCACTGGAGAGTTTCCATCCCTTGCACCTTTGCTCATGCCATCTGCTCTACCCAGAAAGCCTTCTGTTGAGTCTCTGACCATCAAAATCCTAGCCGGGCTTCAAAGTCTAACTCAACCCACTGTGTTCTTGAAGACCTTCCTCAGCAACCCTGAGCACCCTCCACACCCCCAGGAGTGAACCCCACCCGCCTCCAGGCCCCATCAGGCTTATTTGAACCTTTCTGTTATGACATTTGGCATGCTTCCTCTTGTCTCCCAGTCCTTTGCTGTTTTTGCCATAGCTCCCCAACCAGCGCTGTCCTCAGCTGGAGGGAGGTTTTACATCTTTGCATCTTTGCCCCTGCAGTGCAGAGCACAGCAGCTGGCATGCTGAGGGTGACCCTGTCAGCTGAATTGATACTGAATCTGGATGGATGCCTTCCCCCAGGTGCCCCTGGCTGCCTATGGTCTCTGTGACCTTCCAACTGGAAACTTCCACTCAAGGTAGCTGGCTGAGTCCTTCCCCCACTTTTTTTCCTTTTTTTTTTTTTTTAAGAAAAGCACATTTCCTTTTGCCTTTTTTTTTTTTGCTTATTTATTTTTCTTCCCCTCTGGAGATTACTCTCAACACTGTTTTGAAAATGTGTCCAGTCTTTCCCCAAGGGAGAGCAAATCCTTAGGCTATACAGAAAGGAGCATGAGGGTGGGAGAGGTCAGCTCATGACTTGGATAAAATCCAGGAAGATGGCTCCACTCTACCACCCCTGACCTGCCCATGGACCCCAAATATCCTGGCACCCCATGCAGTGAGCTGCACCCTCCCTTCTGCCCACTATCTCCAAGGCAGGCAGTTGCACACTCTTCTTAAGAACTTCTCATCTCTTCCAGGGAAAAAACCCTGAGACATCTCTCCAGTGCTGAAGGGCCATGGCCCCAACCCTCCTGACCACCATAGCTGAGGCCCAGGACACCACCACACACACCACGCTGAAGGGGGGTGGGAGCCACAGTGGGCAGACGTGGGAACACCAGACCTGGTGATCCCCAGGACTATGGGGCAGCAGGGATGAGATGGTGAAGGGGAAGAACTCACGATGAAATTTCCAAGGCAATCCTGACAGATGAGACATCTCCTTTCTCACATTCGCTCACCTCTGTGGAACACAGTCCAGGAGAGATGGTTTCTCCTTTTGCCTATAAGAACCTCAGGGCAGGCCGGGCACAGTGGCTTACGCCTGTAATCCCAGCACTTTGGGAGGTTAAGGCAGGGGCATCGCCTGAGGTCAGAAATTCAAGACCAACCTGGCCAACATGGTGAAGCCCCATCTCTACTAAAAATACAAAAATTAGCCAGGCATGGTGGCACACACCTGTAATCCCAGCTACTCAGGAGGCTGAGATGGGAGACTCACTTGAACCCAGGAGGCGGAGGCTGCAGTGAGCTGAGATCATACCATTGCACTCCAGCCTGGGCTACAGAGTAAGACTCTGTCTCAAAAAAAACAGCAACAACAACAACAACAAAAAACAAAAATATAAAACAAAAAAAAGAACCTCAGGGCAAGGCCATGTTTCCCCACCTGAGTCCCATCTGTCCTCAGCCCCACCCCAAGAACCTAATACAGCAGATGACTTTTCTCCTGCTTGGAACACTCCCTGCACTGCCCCTGCTCCAAATTTGGCTAGTTCCTATCCACATTTCAGTAAAGGAAGCACCTCATCCAGAAGGTCTTCCCTGCTCTCTCCCTACCACCTCTCCGCTTCCCAAAGTACCCTGTAATACCCAAATGTAGTGCTTCTTACTCTGACGAGCTTGTCTGCCTACTTATCTGTCTCCCTTCACTGGGTCGCCCAAGCGTTTTGTTCCTGTCATCTCCCCAGAGATTGGGATAGAGCCTGATATCCAGCAGGTGCTCAATAAACGTGCCCTCAGTGAAGACAGGTGCCACTGATTAAGCCCCTGCAATCGATATGCAAGACCCAGTGCTAAGCCAACCTGTGACATACTTTATACTTCATTGAACTCTCAACTACCTCAAAAAAAAAAAAAAAAAAAAAGAAAGAAACCAAGACTGGCCAGGCGCAGCGGCTCACACCCTGAGACATCTCTGACGTCCCAGAACTTTTGGAGGCAAAGGCAGGAGGATCGCTTAAGCCCAGGAATTCAAGACCAGCCAGGATAACATGGCAAAAACCTGTCTCTACAAAAAAAATTTTAAAAATTACCCCAGCATGGCTGGGCGCAGTGGCTCACACCTGTAATCCCAGCACTTTGGGAGGCTAAGTTGGGCGGATCATGAGGTCAAGAGATCAAGACCATCCTGGTCACCATGGTGAAACCCCGTCTCTACTGAAAATACAAAAAATTAGCTAGGCATGGTGGCATGAGCCTGTAGTCTCAGCTACTCAGGAGGCTAAGGCAGGAGAATCGCTTGAACCTGCAAGGCAGAGGTTGCAGTGAACCGAGATCGCGCCACTGCACTCCAGCCTGGCGACAGAACAAGAATCCATCTCAAAAAAAACAAAAACAAAAACAAAAAACATTACTCCAGTGTGGTGGCACACACCTGTAGTCCCAGCTACTTAGGAGGCTGAGGTGGGAGGATCACCTGAGCCCAGTAGATTCAGGATGCAATAAGCTATGATTGTGCCACTATACTCCAGCCTAGCCAACAGAGTGAGACCCTGTCAAAAAGAAAACAAAAGAGAAGAGAAAAGAAACCAAGACTATAACATTAGTTTGCATTATCCCTCATTAGGAATTTTAACCTTTGTCTCTCAGACCTCAAAGCCTGTGCCCCTAACCACTAGACTAAATGATTCCCCTTCCTTGCTTCTCAGGGGTCTTATTAATCTAGCCCAGGGGGGTCGGGTGCAGTGGTTCATGCCTGTAATCCCAGAACTTTGGGAAGCCAAAGTAGGTGGATCACTTGAGGTCAGGAGTTCGAGTCCAGCCTGGCCAACATAGTGAAACCCCAATTCTGCTAAAAAAAAAAAAAAAACAAAAATTAGCTGGGCATGGAGAATTGCTTGAACTCAGGAAGCAGAGAGTGCAGTGAGCCAAGATTGTGCCACTGTACTCCAGCTTGAGTGACAGAGAGAGACATTGTCTCAAAAAAATAATTATATATATTTATATATATATATATATATCCCAGAGAGAAGCAGCAATGTTACATGGGCCTAGCAACCTCATGCCTGGGTCAGACACAGCTGTTTTCTTCCTCTGGCACCTGCGTCCCACCCCAGGGTGCCTTTTCTTCTGGTGATACTTCCACACGGGTGAGTAGCCCCAGACCTCATCCCTGGCCTCAGGAGCTCCTGAGCAGGAAGTCCTCATTTTAGATGAGAAAACGGAGG